GCCAGTGAAATTCCTTTGGGATATACTTGAAGATTGTTAGCTTACCATGTTGTCCAGGAGGACTGGTGGAGTCTTGTAAATGTGCATAGATAACAGACTGAGTGATTGGTTTAGTACTTTAAACTAAAACTTTGATTTTAAGCTTTAAACAACTCCTTCTTGAACACAAGTAAAACCACAGTTAAAAAGCTGCAAAGCCAAATCCCGATGGTTTAGAAACAAATATACTGGAAGAAAATTACTTGCAGTATTAGCTGTGCATTTGTAAACTACACACAACAGTTCCTTGAGCTGTTTGCAGCAGAGCCATGTTGGTGCCTCTTCCTTCACTGAAGAGTGCCAAGCTACTTACTTACTACTCAGATAAACTTTCAGTAACTGGGATTAAACCACAAAGACTTTGAAAAGGTAATGATTCAAGAACTGTAAGCAGTAGATGAATACATTTTGCAAACAAATAACTTGCCTGGGATTTTTTCAAATAAAGAGAGGGAGACTTTTCTTTAGTAAATTGCTATCTGAGAACCCTTTCCTCATACCTGCATCAACCATACTTGCTGTATCCGTTCAAAGCAGTGCTTCCACTTGAACACATAAAAAAACTAGAAGTCACACAGAGAAAGCATTGGCCACTTCATAGAAACTTTTGATAAAGGTAAATCACATGCATATGCCTATCTCATGAACTCTCCTCTGTGTTAATAAACAGAATATCACATTCAAAATAAATTTATGCCTGTTCCAAGCCACACATCTCAAAGGAAATTACAGTTTAACTTCTGTAACCATGTCAGAGGCACATTAAGTGAGTAATCTGCTTCTTTTCTTTGACATAAATCAACTCTAGCCTTAAAAAAAAACCACAACAAAATATAACTTTTGCACCTTTATCTGACAGACAGCAGGGTTTCAAACTGCTGCACCTTTTTTTGCAGGAAACTGAAAAAGGAACAGAATTTGCACATCTCTGGATGTTAGCCTAAAAATACTGTTTCCTTAAATTCAGTAGTTGTTTATCAAATATTTCTACTAATCAGCCTAAATATTTTTGCAAGACATTGGCAATTAGTTCACTTAGCAGAAGCTGGAATTGACAGGAATTGGGAGTTCTACTGACAGCATGCCCTGGTAGGCTTGGTATACTGGCAAAGGTAACTTTAGTCAGTATGAAGTCAAATTAAGTTGAGATCTTCCCTGACACTACAAGGGAATTCCTTAGAGATATGGGAATGTATTTTTGTTTGCTGCATTTGGTGACCTGAATGAATTTCTGCTACTAGAAAGGGACAGTGACTTGGACATCCAACATAAAGTGAAGTAGGCTTCTAGGTCCTAGATACTCAACTATTGTCAAAATAGGAGACATCTGAACTCAAGGTGTTCAGTAAAGTTCTTACCTGCCTGGAGTTCAGCTTCAGGCCCAGGTGATGACAACCTGGGCATCTTAGTGCCTGGCTTACACCTTAAGGTCAAGCAGTCATTTGATAGTGTACAAAAGTGGTCCCAGGAGTGCAGCCCTTTCCTAGAAGAAAACATTTGACCATGACTTTTCTTTTTCTCTCAGACTCAGCGTATTACTCCCTGTGTAGTCATATAGCACATCACAGAAAAGATAATCCTTTTCACTCCTCCACAAAGTATTAAACCCTGAAGAGGTGAAAGATGTGCACTTTAAGCTTCTTGGGCTTTGATGGGACTCAAACCAGTCTCTGCCCTATTCTAAATAAGAGATTCTGACCAAAAGCACACAAAATAGATCATATCTCAATATTTAACTGAGATGACACTTTAATGAGAGTCTAAGGCAAAACGCATAAGTAGGGAAATACTTGTGAAAGAGGAAAAGAATTGCCCTTTTCCCCCTCATCTGCTGCTTACCCAACCCTTAATAAAAAATTGTGATTTAAAAAAAAATCTTTAGAGAACATTGCATTTCACTTTTTCTAAAAGGATCTGTTACCCATGCAAGTGAAAATGATGCTACCACCACCCTTCCATCGCTACCGTGATTTAAAAGAATGAGCTTGTTCTGTGCAAGCTGGAGAAAAATATCTTTAATTAAAGTTTCTGGGCTGCAGACCACAGGAAGAAAAAAAAAAAGGACTTCCACCCAAGTTAGGTCTCCATTTGCCAGGAAGAACATTTTAAGACATACCTACTTCTGCAGCATTTCATATTGGCTGGGTCTAGACAGCTCTGTCCTCTCTGTGGGGCAATTACTATTCTACCATATAGCTAGCCCAAGCATCTAGAAACCTATTACTGATAGTGAAAACAAACATCCCTTGAATCATTAAAAAAAAAAAAAATTAATTACCAAAACTAAATAAGAATTAATAATAACAGCTTAACTTACTCAATAAAATTTAACCGATTAAAAATACCTATGCAGTGTCATTGTCACACACGTCACTAGTGGTTTGGATTCTCTCTTGGTTATCTTTGCATAAAACAGATGCTTACAGACATGATGCCATGACTAGCATCAGGAGATAAAGCAGAAGGGCTGAGCCAGTCTCTCACACCAACACTGCCAGTGTTCAATGAACACAGGTTTCCACAGGTCTTCAGTTACAGGCTATGAAGGAATTCACCCAAGGAAGGACAAGAAGAGTACTAACAGCCCAACTCTTCTATATTTCTTAGTGGGAACCTCATTTTCTTGGAACAATTCTGGACTTACTGTCACAGACCAACCTCATGCCAAGAGCAGCTGGTAAATTTGACCCAATATAACCAGATTGACCTCACATGAATACCTCAACTCAAGAAAAGCTATTCAGCAGTTTTAACACCAGAGACTTAATCCTCCAAAGTTGCTCTGGACAAATGTATATGGCTAAAAAATTTGTATACCTGACCTAAAATAGATGGTGTGTATCAATAGTACACAGATTTTCTAGACATTTTGTACTTTTACACTGATATGAACATGCATTTTTACCTTTCTTTATGCTAGATGCCTACATATGTAGACCAGGGTATGTTTGGTGGAGAAAGAGACAAAGCATAGGTCTGTTTTAACTTCCTTGTCTAGACATTAAGCTTCTATTGAAGCCATTTAGCAAGTCCTTTCAGCTTAATAAGACTGCTGACTTTCATTGTCAATAACTCAATAACAAGCAGGAGCTATAGCTAAATATACATCATCTGTTTTTACAAGCATTCAGGGTGGAGGCATCAATGAATTGCATTTTCAAGTGCTTATCTTTAGAACACTTAACCACCAAGTCCCAAAAACATTGCTGAAGTCTCATCTAGAGACTTCATATCCTCTGGAGACTTCAGAAGTACTTTGAAACAGTCCCTAAAAGCTATCTGAAATTAGTTGCATTACAAGTGTGGTTGAAAATTACATACTCTGTGCATTCAGCAAGATACAGAAGCACAAGACAGGTGTTAGACAGTTTTCTGGAAAGATCTTTAAAGGCAGTTAGTGCAGACTGCTTATAATTTCCTGTGGTAGGTTCCCATGCATATGTGTGCTGGGAGATACACAGGTTGAAGCAAAGACAAATTCTAGAATAAGCAAATATCTCATCTGCATCCAAACCCAGACTTAAATTGTTTTGTAATAAGCAAAACTGTAAAGCAATTTCATTCTCTTAAACTTCATGTCTCAAACTTTGTGTTCACACACAAGCAGCACAAGCTCTCCCTCTCATCCCCTTTTTTTTGCTGTGCATTGGGTAACTAGCTGCACACTGCTCGCTTATTTTCCACAGTTTTCTTGAGACCAGCACATCATCCTTCCATCACTGTAGAAAACCTGGTGTATCATTAATCAGGTTTGCCAATCAACATGCAGGGATTAGCATAATGTACAGACACACTTAATCAGGTCTACTATACTGTTAATCATGCGTATGCTAATAGTTATGGAGGATGAACCATTTAGGACACTGGCTTTCTGTTCTGATTGGCTGTGGTTTCTATCTGTTAACTTTCCCCTCTTATTTTGGTTTTTTCCCCCCTCTTTATTCCTTCCACCCAAAATTTTGACTGCTGAAATTATTTCAGTAAGGCTACTCATATAATTAAAGATATATTTAAGTAATGCGGGAAAAAATAAAGAAAAACAGCAAACAAAATCATGGACAGATTAAAATGTTAGATTCACAAGCTGATAGACTGAAAAACTATTATTTTTTATATAAAAGAAGCATACTTTGCTTCTTCAGAAAGTGTTCTTGATCTCAAGAGCTATGAATACAAATTACAATTTAAGTACCAGACTATGTTAATTTCCAAGATAGATTCTGAATTTGTGAACTAACTTTTAATGGCAAAAGATCTGAATGTATTCCCTTTTGGTAATCAAAAGCAAAATATAGCAGTAACATTCTTTGGCTGTTCACTGGAAAGTGGTTGAGAGAGAACAAGTAGCAGACAAAAGTAATCCCTCAAGTAGCCCTGTAGTTGAGCGTTTGCATACAGTCAGGGCTATCTATGGCAGGGCTGAAGGATTCAGTCAGAAGGAAGTGTGGAGTGCTTAGGAGAAGGGGTGGGGAGAGAAGCTGAGTGAGAGGCACAGAAAAAATGAGCCTGCCAGTGGTTAATTGAGCATATAGATTCCTAATGTGTCAGGCACTACCCTCTCGGATGAAGGATGACACTTTTTAGGGAGCATCTTCCTTTGTTACCATTTTAAGACTAATGAAGCCTGCAATTCATAACCCTGATGCTGGGTACTTATCTGCTGCCAGGGCAGTCAGTACAGCAGAAGACTATAACTTTGTGTGTACAGGTTTTAAATATATAGTTTGGGGGCACATTGCACAGAATTGTTGTGTAAACAGTTACAGCTCTAGATAACACTTCTATAAGGGAAAAATAATTTGCAAATGCAAGAACAGATATCTGTCATGTAGATAATTTCTAACATCTGGAATCTTAAGTGTTTAAGAGAGTATATTTTGTATTTTTTCTTCATCTCTTTAGTTTTTTTGGGTTTGTTTTTTGTTTTTTGGGGGGTTTGGTTTTGTTTTGTTTTTTTTTTTTTATTATTATTTAAGTGAACCAGGCCTGTTTACTTTTATAGTCTCTACGCAGCAAGGCTCCATTATACAAAAGTTGTGGGTTTTTTCCCCTGCCTTCAGGTCACTTGTTAATGAGCTAAGCACTGGGAGAGGATGGAATTGATTACAATGGGATACGGGCAGAGACATTGCCTTTAAATTTCCATAGAATTAGAAGAACGAACAAGAGAAAGAAGTCATGTTTGTCAGCAGTCCATGGAGATGCTTTTCTGTGGAGGTTGATGAGAGCGCCTTACAATCGGTTGGATAAAATTTGGGTGCCAGTTAGAGGAGTTCTGGGACCCACCTCAACCCCACCTTGTGTAGTCTCTGACCTCCTTAACCTCTGCAGGGCTTCTTTTATGAGAGTTCCCAGCCAGATGGTCGAGTCATCAAACCTTTATGAGCACAAACTCCTTTTACCACTTCACAGCTTCTTCCAGCCTAAAAGCAGGGAGGGTAGACGTGTGAGGAAAAGAAGCTAAAAGGTGTTAAGGATAAAAACAAGACATAGGGGTACCTTCTTTCTGGGTTGGTAACTTAGTGTGATGTCTGTGGTTTTGGCACTCCCTGCCTGTGTTGATGTTATTATGAATGTGTTTACATCTTCCAGTACAAAACACTTAAATGGAAAAGCACAGAATTATTTCCTACCATACACGTTCATTTTATTACACTGCTAAATGAGCATTTAGATTTTTTTTTTTTTCAATTTCTTCAGTTTCTGATTGTTTAGGACATTTTTAATCCATTTGGTTTTGGTGGGTTTATACTGCTAACAATCACTGCTCTGGTTTCAGAGGAGTGATCTGTAGTGGCAGAAAATGTTACCTACCTTCATTGGCAATAGGTGACTTAAATTACATGAGGCCTAAGCCCAGCAAAGTGACCTTGTTAACTTTATGAGAACTATACTCTGGTTTCCACCTGCATGCAAGGGAAAAAACCTCACTTATGAGGAAGTCAATTTCCAAGCACTTCTCCAAGAGGAAAGTTAACTCAGTCACCGATTCCTGGATTTAAGGGTTACACTTTTCCAATTAGAGAACACACACAGAACAGCAAAAAGTGTAAAACTGCAACATTGCCAAGACATGCTATAACCATCCTTTGATGCACAGAGTTAATTTTAGAACCTTTGAAATCAATTCTTATCAGTAGCAGGTAAAGTCAAAAATAGAAGACCCATGAATCTGGGTGAGGTCAGAATCCTTTACAGGTTCAGGTTGATTGGTTTGCAATAAAACCACTGAGATCTGCCAGTTTTTAATGAGCTTTTCTCTGAAGAGGTGAACTTGTATTTTCACTGGGGGTTACTCTTGAGGGTATGTTTCACGTGCCTGTCCTAAACATTCCCTCTAGACCTTGCTGCTTTCCCACATTAAAAATCATCAGGTGAGTTGATGGGTTTTCACCAAGGTATGATATATTATATCAGACCTTCCACCAAGCCTGCCTTAGTGAGAGAAGGGTAACACTCCCTGGATGTTGCTCATTTTATGTTCATTTCATTTCACTTGCAGATGATGCAGCCATAATAAATAATTCTAGCAAAGGATCTACCCTCTAGTTTTGAAAATGGATCTTGACTCAGAGGCCAGTGAATTTCTTTTGAGGAGAAGGTAAGTAGGATGTACTGTAGAAATTTACTCTGCCACTTTGCTGTACGAATAGTAGGCACCTAGATGCGACTGAAAAATGTTTAACAAACAATAGGAAGTCACCCTAAACACAGATGAGATGTACTTTGTAGAAGCGTTGTTTCCAGACACTAATACTAGCTGTACAGTTTTGGTTCAGCTTTGGTTATCGTTCTTTTTAGATTTGACGATGTGCAGGTGCTGTATGTTTAAATACCTTTTATCTGCTGTTACAGGAGAAGAAATAAAGGGTCTGGTTTTTGGTCTTTCCACAATACCACTAGGTTTACATAGAGTTGCCCTAGGAAAATTCAGTGTTACGCTGACAACTTTAGTCTTCTCACCTTCTTGCAGATTGTTTTATGGAGTTTCTATGAGGATAAATTTTTAATCTGAAACTTGTTTAATACATAGCAAATACATATTTGCTCACAGGCTTGCCAAGAAGAAGTACAAATCTAGCACAATTAGTATTGATTTTTAAACTGTAAGCATCTCATTAGAGAATGTATTTTGCAGTACTATCTAAACTCTAGGCTGTGTCCTGGAAGATGCTAAGAAATCAAAGACAATATAATTAAAGTAAATGGCTTTAAGAACTATAAAGTTCATGTGGAAACAGTATTTTTAATATAGCGTTATTAGACACCTGGATTAAGTTAATGTGTTTGAAAGTTGCATAAATATTTGTAGAATATCAACATGCCCATGCTATCATTGTAGATGGTTGGTATTGGATACCTACTTTCATCTTTTCTTGAGAAATCACCCTCACTTGTGCACTGTCCTTCACAACATGTTTTCTGTTGTTGATTTGTTGGTTTTTTTAAAGAGGAAAGTAACTCCCCAGACACATAGAATGCTTTCTTTTTTTTCTTTTTTTTTTAAAAAAAAAAAAACATTAAACATGGGACTAGCAGAACCTAAGAAATTCAGAGTTAAGTCTAAAACTCTGTCCTTAACTCACCCCGCTGTGCTTAGGTATTATAGCACATATGGTATGAACCCCCCACTGCTCTGAGGCCCCCTGATTAAGTGCTGCAAAACTGTACCTAGACACAATGTGGTGACTTAAGGAGAGAATTTTAGCTTTAACCTGAATGTCCTGGTTCATGTGAGACTGTTAATGTTATTAGAACATAAAGTGGGTGGTTTAATACCTTATATATGGTGCTTAAAGTCAGCAGCAGCTGCCAGGGACTGGGTTCCTGCACTGGTTTTTGCTAGGGGGAGGGGAAATCAGTTGTTTTCCTTGCAGTAAAAATAGAGCACAAGACCTCTTTTTAAATTAAAAGAAAGTTTTATTCACTGTAGATGAGCTACAAGAAAGTAGTGTAATCAGCAAAACAAAACAAACTTGGGAGGGTAAAGCTGGATCCTTTGAGAGTCTGAGCAGACAGATCTTTGTGTTTCTTCTCACTTAAGGCTGCTTGTCTGGTAACATCTTAAGAGATATTCCTAGCATTTGGCAAAATCCTGGGGTCCTGACTTCAGACATTTTAAGGATGCTACTTGTGAATATAACAGCGGATTGGACAAAGAAATAGGCTACACAAAAAAACAAGTAAAGCTGTAGGGATTTAGCCATCAATTTATCAATAACATGGTTTCTAAGTCCAAAATGTTTACTTGTGTAAACCAAGACATTGTTTCACAAGTAGGCTAATTTAACTGACTATTCTCAGAAGAATATGCTACTCAGTGCTAGATTATTACCAGCAAATTTCACTAACTGAAGATTTGTAAATAGAGTTGGAAGAGTTTTCCATAATAAGAGAGCAAACATCAGAGCCTGCTCCCTGCTTGGTAAATGAGAGATTCAGATGTGAATAATTCACGTAGATAAAGATTCAAATGTGAAATTTCTCTTATTGATCAGAGGTGATTCCTAAAATTGGGCTGTCAGAAGTGTTCAGCTGTCCAGAACACTTCTGGCTCCCCATTAAGACATGCTAACATATATGTAAGCTGCATCCCAGAAACACAAAGAAAGGGTTTGCTAGGACTCTTCTTCCTTAGTCTGGATATACACATCTTTTCTACATCTTTGTAGGGTGCAGAGGAATGAAACACCCTGGCAGTCGGTTGTTGCTTTGGCGTAAAAGACTAGGAGACATCAGCTTAAAGCAAACAGGTCTCCGAGCATTTCAGCATATGGTGACTCTGTCCTGAAGCCCTTGTTTAGAATTAACTCTGGGAGTGTTTGTGTATACACAATTTTTGTCTCGTGTTACCTCTCCCAAGTGCAAGTTCAGGATGTTCACTGATACTTCACTGGAAAACAAAGCCCCTGTTGATAGGTGCTCGCTTGCTGGCTGGGGTGTGGGGAAATGTAGAAATTCAAACTATTTCACTTCCATGGGGATCTAGAGATAGCTCCAGGTTAAAGAGGTACACTTCACACACCCTCAGCAGAAAGTTTTCACTTCTGCTGCCTTGACGTGTGCCTCCCCATATTTACATGGCGAGTATGTTTTCCTGATGAGGTTTTCTGGAAAGTGCAGCGATCCCTGCAGGAGTCTGCACTCACACTTCTGAAGGGCTCTGAATCTGTTTGAGTGGGGGCAGAAGGTCCTTACCATGTGTGAGAAAGCAATGTTTGCTGAAAAAAACTTGAGGATCCTAGGTAACTGAAAGCAATTGGGAAAGTATATTTATGTTCTTCATGTTAAAAAGGTGTTTAAATGGATATTGGTAAAAAAATAGAGATTTGTGAGTCACAGAAACATGCTGTAACAGTAACACGTGCACACTGAGAGTGTCTGGAGAAAGCAAACAGAATAAGTTTGGTTGAGTTTTGTAGATTACGCTTAGAAATACAAAATAGAAACATTGAAATAATACACGTGAGCGAAGAAGATTACGTTGTTCATTGTCTTTGGGAAATACCTGCAGAAAACAAGAAGTTAAAAGAGGGGTGGGGTGGGGGGTGGAGCTGAAACAGTTTGAGTTGCATCTTTGGGGCTTTAGTAGGCTTCTGGCTCAACAGTTTACGCCAGCCTGGCCTGGATCCTTCACACCAGGATAAATTTCGTGTTACGAAGATGAATGGCAATGAAGAGCTATGTAATTATTAGTTTTGCTGCAAGCCGATCAATCATCTGGGATGAACTGCTTGCAGAGGTCACGCATGACCTTTCGGCAGGAGCATCACTGGCACAGCGACCGCAGTTTGCTGGCAGCAGCCGTCCCCCGCTGGCTGCATTATCACAGGCCTGGCAGCGCTAAAAGGCGGGCCCGCATTCCTTGTCACTGGGACTCTTATAATTATGACAAATGACTAAATGTGTTATTTTCAGCAAAGCGATGGCAGTCAAAAGGGGTACTTAGGGTTTGTAAGAGGTGATGGCTGGCGTGGCTTTGAAGGCTTTTCCTTTTCTTGACTTAGCCCAGACTGAATCATACATGGCCACCCCACTGGTAGCTGAGCAGCGTGTGAAACCCATTTCACACGTCTGCACTGCCTTACAGCTGCGATGCCCTCTTTTCATCCCCAACAAAACCAGAGCCGGTGGCTGCTGCCTCTTCAAAACAAGCGCAGTTTGGTGGGGGAAACTTTGCTGGCTTTGTTTTAATCGGGATGAATGGGAAATCCCAAACACTGAAGTGTATTTTACTGGAGTCTGGGATGGGGGGGGGGGGGGGGATGCTGAATGAACAAAGCCCAATAGGAAATGTAGCCCCAATGGTATTTCTGACAGCAGAGCAAGCTTCTCCATCCATAAAGACAATGGGCATGGGAGTTGTAAAATATATACAGAAAAAAAAAGTGCTTTTCTGGAAAGTCATTTGAAAACAAGAAACATCAGCAGCATGTTTAGGACCTGAATCTTGCAATTTCCCCTTGCATCACTGAAAATACCAAAACTGAATATTCCAGAGAGAATCTAAAAACTTCTCTAATTAAAATTTTTTAAAATGAGATAAATATTGCTAAAATATATTACTGTGTGAATGAATAGTAGAAGGTAGAGGAAGGATTGCAAATGCAGAGTTCGTGCCATAGAAAATAAGGACTAAAACAGCTCTTAAACTTAAACTGGTGCTTGCCTGCCTTAAACCAATGCAACAGTCTTGCTTTTGATATTTGCAGATATGACTCAAGTTTCATTCCCTTATCTAAAACGATACACATGCATGCAAAACCTGACATAATTCTGATTTACAGAGCCTGAAGTGAAAACACTTGATGCTTCTTTAAACAGCAGAAAAACTATTTTCTGATTTTTTTTTTTTTAATTTTTGTTTTTAAACTTTTTTCAGGGACATGCTGTATTTTGTCTATTAACAAATAGTATCAGGCAACAGAAGTATCACGAGTGAATCTGCCCCCTCACAATTTACTTTGTCTTCACTAGAGGTTGTGTAATTTGGATGGCATGACTTGGACAAGAGTAAATACTTTTGTGCTTTTCAGCTCTCAGCAGAGCAATGAAATATCCAGTAAAAAAAATTAGCCTGGTGGACAGTCCCTGATTCCTGGAAGATTTGTCCAAGCAACAGAGACCAGATAACCAAATGACATGTCATGCAGCACAGCTAATGCCCAGCAAGACAATCCACTTCCCTGACATGCAGTACCTGTCTTATCACACTTTGGATTATCTCTTTTTCATGGTTTTCCTGGCTCACCTGAAGTAGAGCAGCTGAGCAGCTGGCATTCTCTGTGCCTTGCACAGCAGTGGCACAGGTACAGCTTTGCCTCACATTGCACAGATGTTGGATTCCTATTACTCCAGTCAGCCGGGAGCAGAGGAGCTGCTGAGGACCCATGGAAGAAGTGACAGGAAAAAAGGGCTATTTACCCTTTTTCCTACCCCCCGCCTTTGCCTCCTTTCTATTTGATTATGTGCCCATTTGCAAAGCTGGGCCCCCAGGCGGAGGGCTTGAATTACAAACAGCTTGACAGTGACACTAATTTCATACGCCTGCCACCTCATCCTGTGCATGTAAGGTCACCTGTTACATCTAGCAGTTATGAT